TATCATTAGTGGCACTGAATGAAATAAAGTGGCCGTGTATAATGTTACAAAGATATTTTCACACTTTTAGCCTTTTTTTATTTTAATGACTTGGATAAAGAATGTGATTAATCTTCTTAAAACTATGATTTGAATTTTGCATTGAAATTTTATAGATATAATATACTTACATGATGTAAAATGCATCCAATATGATTAAAAAAAGTGTAATAATAATATTTTCATTTGATTGTAACTTTAGATAATACGGTATAAAAAAAAAAAAAAAAAAAAAATGAATGCCGATTAATGTTTTCAATGCCAGTAATCTCCAATGACACTTTCAGTTATCGATCATTAGAAAATCTGTGAAAGATATTTCATCATTTAATACTGACATAAAAATTTTATATTGCTACATTGTATAGTATATTACATCATTAGTAAATATAACGTGATAAAGAAAGTTTTATATTACACACATTGAATCGGTGGGGATAATAATTTTGTTCATAAATATTTATCACTTTAATGTAAATAATAATAAAATTATGATTAATATTAATTCGTGAATTCCAATAATAATGAACGACTGAAGCCATAAGTACTCTAATTGACCTTATTATTGATTTCTCGTTATATAAATATTACACTTATACATTATTTGACTAATCTTTAAATAATAAATAAACAATGAATTTATAAACCTATCGTGCTAACAATTTAATAGTTTATTAAAAGTCATTGTAATTTAAAAATATTATTTAATATTGCAGGAATAGAATTAATGTGGTATTTAATAGAGTTAAAAATTGTATAAATTTTTTTTTTACTTGAATATTGAATAAAACATATATGAGATATTCTTTTTTATTAAATTAAATAAGATTTGATGTTGAATTTTGAGTTATCTAGATTTATCATAACTGCGAAACAAAACATAGCTTATATTCTATTTCAATATCTTAAAGAGAAAATATTGAGCAAAAGTATAGAAAAATTGTCTATCATTGTAATATCTTTTGACCTGAATTCTATAAAGTATTTGGAAATTAGAACAATGGTAACTTATAAAAGTATATTAGAAACCTATATATTACGTAAAAATAATAAAAGTTGGATAATAAAGTACTTAAACTGAAATAAGATGAAAAAAAAAAAAACAATTATTTTTACATGAAGAAGAAATAAAATAAATGAAATTAATTTATCACCGATATCATTATACCGAAAAAAGCTGTCAAATTTAGTTAACCTCGAGCTTATAGATAGGGCCAGTTAAAATTAATAGATGTTCCATTGAAAGTATGACTTCCAAAAATATTATTATAATGTTTATTTCTATATATAATATATAGTCTATATAAATTTACGTTCACAAGTATATAAACTTTTTTTTTTTTTTTTTTTTTTTTTTTCTTATTGATATAAATAGATTTTAAATCATAATATTTTATCCAAATTTTGATATTTATTGAAATTCAAATTAAATATTATTTGAATGTTATTTTATTTTATTTATACATATATTTTATGCTTTTGCTAATAAATATGAATATATATTAAAGTAACAAGTATTTAAAATAATATAAAATTATATTTTAAATATTTTTAGCTATCTGTCTGATTATATTTCAATGCACGTTTAATTATTAGCTCGCAAACATATATTAACAAGAATTAATGCACTTGAATTTTCTTAAATTATAAAAAAAAAATATGAAAAACATTAAACACCATGGCTATGGAAATTCTTTGGACTAACTGTTTCATAAATTTTAGCTGTATTTTGTTTAAAAAATTATAGTTTTTAATATTGAATAAAGTGATTGAATTATTTATAAAAGAATTCTAATTTATAATAGAAATGAATTAAATTTATGATAAAAACTAATTTAAAATAAAAATTATTCATCATCGACGCAGAACAGAATGATAATTTTTATCATTCTTTTCTTTATATTCTGATATAATGGTGATTTTCTCTGAAATTATAATCTTAAATGAATACCATAAACCATTCACTCAACCATAAAAATTGTAGAACATAAGTACATTGTTGATAAAAGATCAGGAATTTAATACTAGAATATTTAGCGTTTTAAATGCAATTAATTTTTAAGATCTCATACTTCATACAAATAAAAATGATAATACCATTATTAAAATAGTATTCAAATTATATTTAATTCTGTCATTCTCTTTATTTCTATTTTTATTTTCTCAATTCATTCATTTTAATGGATTTTTAACATTTACAATAATTATAATTATAACGTCAATTAGATTAATAATGCAAATTAACAATTGCTTTATTAAAAATCTCACAACCAAAATGTTTATAATTTTGTACCTACAAACTTACATGTAAATTCGTACTTTGAATTTTTCTTGTGGCATATAAATAATGTAGACAAAACATAAAATAAATGTATTTTCTTTAATATAATTAGTTTCAATTCATTAATTAATTTTATGGTGAAAAATGCTGTTTTTAATAGTAATAATTTCGATATATTACCGATTATATTATATTTCGATATTATCGAATTTTTGAAAATAGTAAAACTTTTTGTTACACAAGAGACTGTTTTCATTAATGCTTCTTAAATTAATCTGAAATATCTATAAATTTAGCGTTTTTCTTAACGCACTTACTTCACTTATTTGAAATTAAAAAGCCGGGAGTCAATCGTAAAGAATTTCTGTAAAGCGATATAAATCGATGGGAAAAGCCGTCCAAATAATTCCAGCACGAAATACTTATTTTTTACGTCGCTCATAAATAAAAAAAAAAAAGGTATGTACAAACACATTGGACCGACTCAGCCGACTTGCGTACGAAGCTACGCAATAAGCCAATCGATCTTCCTAAAGAAGTTCCTCGCATCTCCAGGGTAATGCTCGTCCGTCCGCGCCTTGACTCAGGACAAACTCAGGCAATTCAGACGTCGCGGAAATTGCATTTTCTGCGTCCGGCCACGAAGGAAAAGCATGAACAAATTAGTCGTTATTAGCTTAAGAGCAGCGGTGTCCGATTATCGGAACTTAATGCGATTGGCGCGAGTATCGAGGTCCTGCGCTCTATTAAGAGTTGCCGTACACAGGAGCAACTATTGCTCTATCGAGTTGCCCTTGGAATCCTTGAGCTTTCATTTTCGCATCAATTGCAGTTAAGGCTAGTAGACGGCATCGAATCCTTTTCAAAAGGGGAGCACTTTTTTTAGGGATACACGCTGATATCTCGGATCAGTATTAGAGAGCATTTTCCGTGACGTGGATTCAAATGAACTTGCGTAGAATTGATTTTTTCTCTCTCTATTTTCTTTTTAGAAAACGTCGATAGCGTGGCCTCTGAAAGATTTTTTAAATATCATCGGCTTAATAAATATAGATGCGTTGACTTTCAATAACTGATTGCTCATGCTCTCATTACATATTATTCAAATAAACATTTTACAAAATCGCCATATTTTCTTTTTTCTAACTACTACTTATAAAAACATTATTAACTAAAGATAATTTTACGAACAACGTTTATTTCTATTTCACCCACTGATCAAATAGTTATCAAGGAAATTGTAAGAATCAAATATAAATTATGTATTTCAAATAAAATAGAAAATGTGATAAAATGAAAAATATTTATTTTTTAAAATAAGAAAAGAAAGGAAAAATACTTTCGGAGCAAAGAATTTTAATTTCGTTCCAATTATATTAATATTCTTTTAAATCGTGTGAATTATTATAATGATTTTTAAGTTGGGAAATTAGACATTCAATGCATAAATGAGTCTAGGCTAGTTTTAATATCATTACAAAGATAAATTTTCAATAGTATTGTACTTTTAATATCCTTAACGCTTTTTAAAAACTCTATGATTATCGAGCGATTCAATTTTATAAATGCTTCGGTTAAATTTGTTCATAATTTTACATTAAGCAACGGACTTTAATGTAACAAGAAATAAAAATTAAATGGCTCTAAATGAATGAATTTCACTAAAAATTTTTAATCAAAGTATCTATAAATTTAATTGTAATTTTTTTTCATTTTAAGAAAATCACACGAAATAACAATATGCATGAAAGTTAATGGAGGACTCACTTTATTGTTTGTGAATGCATTTGGAGTTAATTAGAAAAGGAGAAATGCTTTTTCTAAAGAAAAAAAGGAAAAAAAAAAAAAAAAAACACATCGAAAACAACGGGAGTATCGAGTAAAAGATCAAAGTGATAACACTTCGTGTTTTATGTAAGTTTTGCTCATTATTAAAAATAATTGGATATTTTATTGGATTGTAAGCCATTGTTTACTTTTAATCAATATCGGTTAAGAATTTTCACTTATAGTAAAAGATCAATAGATATAAGAAATGTATATTATTATTAAAAGTTTTATCAATACATTAAACTACAAACTGTGTTTTGTCTTTTAATATACATTTATTTGTATAATATTTAATTGTCATTTTAAAACCTAAAAGATATATGTAGAAAGAACAAATGATTACAAATAGTATTAGTTATATGTTTTGACGAAATTTATATTTATTTATTGAAAGCATTTCGACAAACATGAAACTGTTTATATGTAAAAGGGTTTAAATCGATGAAACTTGCATTTCAATTTGAATTTTATAACAACTTATTTTGTCGATTTATCATCAAGTTATCAACAAACAAACAAAAAAAAAAATATATATATATATATTATTTACATAATAGATCTAAGATATATGAATACTAATTTTATTATAAACATTGTTAAAAGATTCAGAAAGAAATTATTGTTAGTTTGAAAATATTTTATAATGTATTTTAAAAGTTTCTTCCCCTTCTCATAACGACAAGAATAATAGATTTTTCCAAGGTATTTAAAATCAAATTTTTAAGTAAAATTAAATCATTGCATTAAATTGAATTGATGAAAAATTAATGATATATTAGCCTTAAGAATAATGAAAAACTCACTTCTTGCAATAATTTTAACATCTAAATGCACTAATTATTTATTCCAGGAACTTATCACAACGCTTTACATCGGTTTTTTGGGATTGATCTTCGCCAGCTTCCTAGTCTACCTTGCTGAGAAGGACGACGAGCATTTTAACAATTTTGCCAAGGCTTTGTGGTGGGGAGTGGTACGACTTATAAAGATATTCCTTTTATAATTCAGCTACATTGGTAGGACAGTGTAATTGTACTCACGAGTAAATATTGTTAAACGTGGAGCAAATATTGTTCGAGAAAATTTATTTATTTTCTCATAAGTAATGTTTCATGTTCCAATTGTAATCCACAGTTATGCTTGATTATTTCTAATCCAACATCTAACCAAAAAATACCACTATTACACAGCTATGCATTTTCATAACAATACTTGCTCTTTATTTTTATTTATTTATTTATTTTTTTTTTTCAACTCTATTCTCAAAACAATGTCATTCGGAATATACGAAAAATATTATTATTAAAAGCAATACTTTCGTAGATCAATATTTCTAACTGCAACTGTCAATGAGGAATAAAGGATGAATTTAAAATCTATAAATTGAGAAGAAACAATTGTTTGGTAAAGCCACGATAAATATAGTATTTCAATAGACTCATTTTAGCAAAAATTCAAGAAATAGAAGATCCTTGCAGTTATTCATCGGGAATTTAATTGTATTTGTGCGTGTACGCGTTTGTCATTACGCGCGCTCACATATAAATGCGCGCGAGGGGGAACGTGAGTTGGGGGGGCCGAATGAGGGTGTAGGTGGGTCAGTGATTATGCGCATGCGTGCCCACAAGCAACACATGCTTCATGCGCATATCTGTATAAAAGTAAAACTATGAATGTTACGTCAATCGTGGTGTCCGAAACTAAAGTTGTCAGATGCATATTCAAAGTTAAATTGAAAATTTGATTTCAACTTTGGTATAACATAGCGAGATTCCCATTATTATATCCTTCCTTTATTTAATATATTTTCTTATTTTTTTCATTATACATAATCTCTATGTTGGATGTGAATTTTATATACAAATTCACAATAATATGAACATAGAATCAATGTTTGTTAAAAATGTATCGAATTCATTAACGACATTCAAGTAGTTAAAATATTTTTCTTATACTCAGAAAAATATCTATTCGATAAGCAGCAAAATTTAAATTCAAACACTTTCAAAAACATTGAATAATTAATGATTAAACTTTTTTAAAGGTATTATGAATTTTATATCTTTTCATTTTATATCTTTTATAGAATAAAGTAAATGATACTTTTTAATATTAAATTATTCTTAAATTCACATATATAATAAGTTAAGTATTTTCAGGTAAATGTAATACATAATTATTAATTATTATAAAGTTCTCAATGTGAGCTAAAATTTGTTTGCAATAAATTAAATATGTTTTTAAATGCGTATTTTATAAAAACAAATATGCAAATTGGATTTTAAAAATTACCTATAGAAGCATTAATGGTGAAAATATTATCGAGCAATGTATAAATTATTATTCGATTATTATAAATGTCGAAATAATGATTATATAATATAAATTTTGAATTTACTTAATGCAAACTATTTTCATATCTAATTTATATAAAAGTTGACATTTAACTTTCTTAATAAAGACAATGTCAAATATCTTTAAATAAATATTATTCACTATTTTAATCGTATGATTTCGAAGAAGTATTTTCATAAATGTTATTTTATCTGAATATTATATCTCTTTTAAAGCACTTGAATTTCCTCGAATGAATATTATGCAGCTTTTTTTCAATCCTTTTGTGAACTATCGAATACAAGATATTTTTGGTTTCAAAAAGTGCATGTTAAACGAATGAGAGAGTATAACATTATATATAAAATGCAAATGTTTCATTAAGCTTTTTGATAGTTTTCAAATATCCCGGCACTGCTATAAAATATAAATATAAAATTTTTAATAAAACGAAATGATAAGCCAATAATAACTTAAGGAGTTGATTATTTAAATGATTTTAAAATGAAAAATCTTATCGATATTAACCAATTGTTTTAGATCACATTGTGCACTGTGGGTTATGGCGATGCTGTGCCAAAAACTTGGCAGGGAAAAGTTATTGCTTCCTTCTGTGCGCTCCTGGGAATATCTTTCTTTGCCTTACCAGCTGTAAGACCTTCATAATTTTTACATAACTTTCCTCTTTGAACTGTTTGGCACTTAAAATATATTTCCTAAAACATGTAACCTTATATTTATAATAGCTTTATGTGACATTATTCGCATTCAGTGTTTTTATCTTTATATAAATCAACTTTCTAGCATTATTTTACATTAAAATTTTAATAATCGTAAATAATCAATATTATTTCGGTTATAAATTTGCAAAGTCGTAGATAATTATAAATCGACTATGCTGAGATGAGATAAGTAAAACATATCAGTTAAATCAGTCTGGTTTAAAAAATTTTTTTATTTTAATTTTGAAAATTCCAATTTTCTATATAATAAACAAATTGTTTTTTCCATACATTATAAACTGTATATATAGTATTGTGGATTATCATTAAACTTACAATTTGAACTGATATATTCTACTAAACTTAATATTTTACTAACAACTATTATTATTATTATTATTATTATCATTATTATTATTGTTATTGTTGTTATTGTTATTGTTGTTATTATTATTATTATTATTATTATTAGTTATTGTTATTGT